GCGGCACAAGCTGACGTTTTCGCTCCAGCTCGCACTCAAGGTGGCCCAGGATGCCGTGCCAGGCGAGCAGCTCGACTTTTCCTCAAGGGCAACATTTCGCTGCAAAAGTCGGAGCGGACCAATGTGCTTGAGTGGCTGCCTGCGCGTGGATGGGAGGATCTGCAGCGGCTGGAGCGGCTCGGTGGCGTGTTTGAGGCCGTGGTCGACGCGGTGGTGGAGAACGCGGACGCGTGGCACTCGTGGTACATGTCCGAGGCACCGGAAGAGGTCGAGGAGCTGCCTGGCGGATGGGGGCACGAGGCGAACGAGTTTGAGCGGCTCTGCCTCTTGCGGTGCTTCCGAACCGACCGGGTGTATGTGGGCGTCTCGCGGTTTGTGGTCTCGCAAATGGGCGAGCGGTATGTGCAGCCGCCGGTGGTCTCGATCAAGTCTGTGTTTGACCAGTCAACGCCGACTGCGCCGATTGTGTTTGTGCTCTCCCCCGGCTCGGACCCGTACGCTGACCTGTCCAAGCTCGCGGACGAGCTCGACTTTCCCCCCCCCCCCCCAACTCCCGCGGGGGGGTACCTCGCCCTAGAAGTGGCTGGGGGTGGCTGGGGGTGGCTGGGGTAGCCCGTGTCGTACTCGGCACGGACCGGACACAGCCACAGACTCGTACACACGCACGCACACACACACACACACACACACACACACACACACACACACACGTCTACATCTCCAGATGGCAACGACAAAGGTGCCCGTGGCCGGTGGCAATGGGTGGGTGGCGGCGGTGGCAGTCGATGGTGAGACAGGCGCCCCGTCGCAGGCGGCGCTGCAGGCCATGGCCGAGGCTGAGGGCATGGTGATGGAGGACGAGGAGGCGGTGCTGACGGCGGCCGGTGCGCCCGATGGCACTCCGCTGGCAGATGTGCTGGCCTTTTCCTGCACTCCACACTCGTACGCCATCCCGGCTGTTCTGGCCGTCCTGGCCGGCTCAGCGTGCTTTGAGATCCTTGCTCCCTCAGGCGCCCGCCATCGCGTCGCTGCCGCAGCCGGCGACGTCATCGGCATCGGCGCAGGCGTGCTGCACACGATGGAGGTGCCCGGCTTGGAAGCTGGTGAGTTTGAGGCGCTCGTCACTCGATCTATGTTTGTGGGCGAGTCGCTGCCGGGGCCGGAGGCTCAGAACCCGACAATGGGCGCATGGCCGTCGCCGTCATCATGATGTTACAAGGAAGGAGGAGAGAGGCTGGACTGACTAGTCTAGGCGCGCCGGCGGCGGAAGAAGAACAGCGCGGCGACAGCGGATGCGACGATGGTAGTGAGCGACGACGCCACAAGCGCGCCGCGGATAAACCCGGCCGAGTCGGCGCTGACCACCGCCGCCAGGTGCTCGGCCTCGGTAAAGGCAAACTCGCGCTCCATGGAGGCCTGCTCGTCGTGCAGGTCGCGGATGCGGGTGATGACAAGCTCCAGCTCGCCCTCGAGCTTGGAGGCTCGCAGTTCCGAAGCTGCAAGCGCGTCGTGGGTCGCCTCGAGCTCGGCAGACGTCCGCGACAACGTGTCCTCCAGCGACGCAATCTGCTCGCTCTGCTCCTTGTTGGGAAGCGCGAGCTGAATGGAGAACTCGGCAGCGGCATCCTCGGCGGCAGCCAGCTGCTTCTGAGTCTCGGCCAGCCGCTCGGCAAGCGCGCCGGCGTCAGCAGTGGTTGCCTCAAGCTGCGCACTGAGCTCGGCAACCTTGGCCTCGGCCTCGGCCAGCGCCACCGCCCGCCCAGCCCCGTCGTCCTCACCCTCACGACTGCGGATGTTCTCCAGCAGCTGCGACTGCGATGCAATCTCGGCCTTGGCCGCGCTCAGCTGGTCGGAGAGAAGGCACGAGTTGCGCGACATCGAGTACACCTTGCGCTGCTCCTGTGCGAGCTGGTGCTCCAGCGCCTCACGCGCCGCAACCTCGGCAGCCAGTTCGCCGGCGGTCGTCTCGGCCTCGGCAAGCTGTGCCTTGATCGCTGCTAGCTCAGCCTCGGCAGCATCCCGGGCCTCCAGGGCGCTCGCCAGCTCGGCTGCTACCTCGATCGGCGGCGTAACCAAAATGGCCGAGCCGTCGCCAGACTCATCGGCCGACTCGGTTTCGGTCTCATCGGCGTCGGCATCGGCAGCAAGGACGGCCTCCAGGTCGACCACCTTCTTGCGGAGTGTGCCCAGTTCGGCCTCGCGCTCGTTGAGCTTGCCCAGCAGCCGCCGAAGCTCGCGCTTCTTGGCCGCATACTTTGACCGGAGCTTCGAGTTGTCAGCCTCGAGCGCCTTGGCCGCTTTGACCATGTTCTTGGTCCCGGCCTTGTACGCCTGCACCTGCTGCTGCAGGTTCTTCAACGTATCCTGCAGATTCAGATGGCGCTCCCGCAGTCGCATCGCCTCCCCACTCTGCCATCACCCGCCCATAGTGAGTCGTTCACTCCCCACAACCGCTGCCCGCAGCCAATGCCGTCGACTACCCTGCTCGAGCCACACTTTGTGCCGTATGAAAATTTCAAATGTTTTGGCTAACGGCCGGCCGCCCAGCCGAGTGCCAGCCACCGCCAGGGACATGCAGAAGCGGCAGGAAAGGGGAAGATGGAGGAGAGGAGGGCAAACTGTACATGGGGAATATAGGGGGGGGGAGGGGGGGGGGAAGGATTGTGTGTGTGTGGCGTACAGTGAGCGAGACGTTCGAGTCGTCCAGGGTGGCCATGGGCGAGTCAAAGTCAAAGGCTTTGATGGGTGAGGGCATGGAGGGGAGGTCGATGTCGGCAAAGACGGCCATGCATGGCGTCGTGGGTGTTCCGGGCTCCACAAGGGAGTTGTTGACGGAAGAAGAAGCGGAAATGTCCGCAAGCGGTGACTCCATCGTCTGTCTCTCGCGAAACGAGTGCGGTGTGTAGCTCTTCATCCCTCCCTCGCCCCTTCCCGCTCCGCCCCATCCCCCTACCACCGCCCACGAGCATCAATAGCTTAGATGAGGCAGGCGCCTGGAACCAGGCCACTCCATCAACCGCCATCTCGATTTATCACACAACATCAGACCAATCTAGCGTCTCGACATGCACAAGGAGGTTGCTACACAACTCCCTTTCAGGTTGATTTCTTTTTCCCTATCCCCATCGCCTCATCCCAACATAGCGTCCGATGGAACGTTTGCTTCGCATCGGCCATTGTCCGCTGATCTCACGCATGACAGAAAAAGGAGCTCCTCCTACGCCACCCGTAGAGCACTTGAAGCCTTTATCGCCTTGCTTTGAGCCATTGGACGCAAGTACAGTGGTCTGCAAAGACTATGGATGTATTTATCTCTTCCATCGATGTCCCCCTTCCCCTGGTAACTTATGTGCATATTGCCGCCCACGAGCATCAATAGCTTAGATGAGGCAGGCGGCTGAAACCAGGCCACTCCATCAACCGCCATCTCGATTTATCACACAACATCAGACCAATCTAGCGTCTCGACATGCACAAGGAGGTTGCTACACAACTCCCTTTCAGGTTGATTTCTTTTTCCCTATCCCCATCGCCTCATCCCAACATAGCGTCCCATGGAACGTTTGCTTCGCATCGGCCATTGTCCGCTGATCTCACGCATGACAGAAAAAGGAGCTCCTCCTACGCCACCCGTAGAGCACTTGAAGCCTCTATCGCCTTGCTTTGAGCCATTGGACGCAAGTACAGTGGTCTGCACAGACTATGGATGTATTTATCCCTTCCATCGATGTCCCCCTTCCCCTCCCCCCCCCCCCATGGCCTCCCCCCCTCCCTGCGACTGGCAGCGCCTGGCGCACTCGGTCGGTGGCGAAAGTGCCTTAGCCCAACCCCCCAAACCGTGGCACACCTCTCCCCTCCCATTACCCCCCCCTTCACACCACACCTCACCCCTGCACCCGACGAGTCTGATGTCGGTAGCAGCGGTGCCAAACCTGCGGGGCAAGCGTCTCCGCCACGGCCCATCTGTCCGCACAGGCTCTGTCCATCTGGGCAAATCCTTGGGCAGGCCCACCGCCGCCTGGCAGCCCCGGCACGGGGCGGTCACCCTCCACACCCTCGAGGCGCCCACCTCGCCTACGTACGTCGTCCCCTCGCCCTCTGCCCCCCGTTCTTCTCTAACATGCACCCTTGGACGTCTATCCATCTTCCAGACCCGCCCTGAGTGCACCCCTTCCCCCTTCCATCCCCGGGCCCCCCTGGCCGTCCCTGCTGGAAAGCCGCGCCAAAAGCGCGCGCGATCGATCGGCCGCGGAGCGACTCACTTGCAAGCGAGGGCGTGGGGCGGATGGGGAGCAGTGTTGCACGCGGACGGGTCGTCGAGGCGCACACGCCTGTGGTGGTGAGAAGGCAGTTGCCGCTGGCAGGGACAGGGACTCCTGTCCGTCCGCCGTCGCCGTCTATGGCGGCTGCAGCAGAGCTTGCCGACCAGGCGGCGCTGCTGTTCTCGGCCGTGGCCGAGCCGGCGGTCGCATCGCCGCCGCCGCGCATGCCGTCGCCTCCGCTCAGGCTCGCCAGCACAGATCAGAGCCCGGACTTTGCGCTGCTGGATGGATCGACCGACTTTGACGTCGACTCGCTCCTGACAGATCACTCGAGCCTTCCGGTAGTGGCAGGCAACAGCCGGCTCGCGTTTGACGCAGCGTCGCCGCTGGCGCCGGACTCGTTGAACTCGTCGCCGCTCACAACCGAGGCGCTGATGGCGTCGCCGGGCGGTGTCGAGCCGCGTATTGCTGTCACACCGATGATGGCCAAGCTCCGCGCAAAGTTTGACGCTGCGCGCTCCGAACTGAGAACTCCCGGTGCGTCGCTTCGCGGCTTGGCCGGCCCGGCGCTGGCTGAGAGCGACTCGGCACCTGCCGCTGGCCCACATTTCATGACTGCGGACCTTGTAGATGTTGTCCTTGCGCACGCTCCGGACAGAGTGGCAGACATGGAGTTGGACGAGGCTGAGAAGCCGGCGGCGTGCGCGCGCTCGACTGCGTACCGCCGCCGCCTCGCGGCTGAGGCACGCAAAAAGGACGAAGCTGACCGCAAGGCCGCGCTCATTCAGCAGCGGCTAGAGGCACTCGAGGCCGAGGTCCGCCAGCAGCGAGTCAAGGCGTCTGCCTCGGCGCGTGCCCGCAAGTCAGCGGCTTCGCGCGAGGATAAGGAGAACAGCACCGCTCGCAAGCCGCCGCCGGGCATGGTTGCCCGTCTCAAGAAGTCGCTGCCACGGCCCAAACCACGGGCGCGGCCACGCCCGCGTCCGCGTTCGCGTTCTGGCCCACATCCGCAACACCGCAAGCCGGCAGCGGCCGACTCGGAGCCTCAGTCTCAGGCTCAGGCTCAGGCTCAGGCTCAGGCTCAGGATCAGGCTCAGCCTGAGCCAACTCCTGAAGACGACTCGGTTGGTGCCGACGCAGCAGCTGAGATTGTGCCGAGCGCCTCGGCTTTGAGTGCAAGTTCTAGCTCGAGCGCCGACGCCGTTGACCTCTACTACACGGACGATCCCGCAGCCAAGACCCGCGATCTAACAACATCAGATATGGTGTCTGCAGAGAGCTCCGGCAGAGGAGCAGGATCAAGCGAAGCCACAGGATCGGATGCCCACAGCGACGGCGCGGACTCTGACCGCAACTCCTCCCAGCAGCCGTCGCCTGTGGCCAAGAGCCGGAAACGTGCGTCGCGGCCGCCGCGCCGGAAGCCACGCCAGAATCGACCGGCACCGACACCCAAACGACGTGGAGTGGCGCGGCGGCGGGCACGGGTGGGTGGCGGTGCGGCGCGGCCACGGCCGCAATCAGCTGCAGCCAAACCAGAGCGAGAGGCGTCGAGAGGGCGGACCCGGCCCGTGACTGCGCCTGTGCGGCGGCGGCGTCCACGCAACAAGCCGCATCCTGCGCCGCTGCGCGAGCGACAGGAGGAGGTCAAGTCGGGTCCGACGCCTGAGGAGAAGGAGCGGTTTGCGCAAGGCCGCGAGTACATGCGCCAGCAGCGGGCCAAGCGGGCTGCAGAGCTGCGACGCCAGCGTGAGCTCGCGGAAGCCGAGGAGGCCCAGCGGGCGGCCGAGTTGGCGCGGCTGGAGGAGTTTCGGCGGAAACAGCGCGAGGAACAGGATGCTCGTCGGCGGCGCCGGGCCGCCATTGCTGCCGCGGAAGCGGCCGAGGCGCCCACGCCTGCGCCCGCTCGCCCTGCGCCCGCGCCTGCGCCCTCCCGCCCTCCGCCTGGACCCGTCCGCAAGCGGCGGCGCAAGCGCCGGCCGGCAGCAGCACCGGTGGCGACGACATCCGGCGCGCGCAAGGTCAGGATCCGCCGCAAGCGGCTCCATCAGACGCTCAAGTCTGCGCCACGTCCTAAAGCGCCGTCGGTGGGTGCCGAGCCTGCAAGTGGAGTCCCGGATCCCGAGGCGCGCATGCTTGCGCTCCGCGAGTCTGCAGTCCGGCTGCGATCGCGACTAGCACAGCTGTCGCAGGCTGATCTTGACGCACTGCCGCAGCCCCTTGCAGAGACACTCTCGTCACTGCACCTGCAGGATGTGATGGCGCGACTGTTCGCGCCGGACGAGTCTACGGGAGAGAGCCAAAGCAAGGCTTCACTACCGGGCGCACCGCGGTCACCATCGCGTGCGATGGCGGGCTCAGAAGCGCGGGCGCTGACTCCTGTAACGTTTGACGCCGACGTACCGGAGCGCCTTGGTGTGGGCGAGCTGAAAGCTGCTGGCGCGGCACGAATGGACGTGCGGTCGCCTGTCGCGTCGCCGCGCTCGCGGGCAGGCCGTCCGCCGTTGACGTTGGCAAGCGACTCTGGCTCTGACGACGAGCCGTCGATCTCGTTCTGGCCGGGCGCGGCGAGCGCCGGGCATGATGTGCCGCTGATGCGGTCGCCCAGCCTGTCGCCGCCGCGGTCGCCGGTGGCGATTCAAGCGGAATTGGGCTCGCCGCTGGAGTTCTGCGGACGGTCGCCGTCGCCGGACCCGCATTCGATTGTCAATCTTCTCAGCCGGGACATGCTGTCCAAGCTCAACTCTGAAGTTGCGCTTGCGCGGTCGCCGTCGGTGCCGCTGCCGGCTCCTGCAGCCGCAGAGCCAGATCCTGTTGCTGTTCGGCTTTACGTCGACGACTTTGAGCCGGTCTCAGACGACGGAGATGACATTGGTGACGGTAGCAACAAGGCCGGCGCCAAGAGAGCAGAATCGGGCTCATACTCGTGCGCTGCGTCGAGCGTCCCCGAGCCTGTTGAGAGTGAGACGGCCTCGAGCTCGGCTTCAAACTCGAGCTCGAGTTCGTCGCAGTCGGACGCGTGCGACGACGAGTCGAGCTTGTCGTCGGCACTGGCGCCGCCAACACCGCCGCGGAGCGGCCGGATTATGGGTAGCACTACCGAACCGGAAGGCGCTGCGCGGGATGTGCGACTCTCGCCAAACTCGCTGGCGAGGACGCTGCTTGCCGAGGTCAACCTGCTGGAGGAGACCGAGCAGGCGCGCCTTGATTTGGCGTCGTGGGAGCAGGCGCGAGCGGTGGCACTGGCACAGCAGGAAACAGTGGCGGTGGCGACGCTGCTGCAGGGCGAGCGTGAGGATGTTGCCAAGTCGGCGGTGGCCACGCGCGACCATGGTGCGACCGCTGCCGACGCTGCGGCGGTTGCGGCTCAGGCGGCAGCGCAGGCGGTGCAGGAGATGGTGGCATTTGTGCGGGACGGCGGATTGGCGACGACCGCAGAACCAGTGTCTGCGCCGGCTGCAATGGCACGAGCAGTGGTTGCCGCGCCTCCAGCCGGGCGTGTGTACGAAGATGACTTTGAGCCTGAGGACGTGTCAACGGTATCATCTTCGCGTACGGGATCGTCGTACGCCGCTTCGGCGGTGACGTCAGCGAGCGCAATGACGGTGGCGTCTGCGAGCTCGCTTGCTGCCGACACCATCTCGTTTGAGTCGATTATGGATGCTGTGCGGACGCCGCCGCCGGCGGACAAGACGTTTGGAGGAACAACATCGCCGATTGCGCGTGAGATCGACTCGACTTATGTCTCCGAGGTCGCGTCCGAGGTCGCGTCTGAAGTTGCATCCGAGGTTGCGTCCGAGGTTGCGTCTGAGATTGCAACCGACGATGACTTTGGCCCATCACAGTCTGCGTCTGCGACGGCATCTGCGTCTGTGTCCGAGTCGACGCCAGCCATTTCAATATGCTCGGACGATTTTGTGGACCTGACAGCCGCGACTAGTGGGATGCAGGGCACGCCGCAGGCTAGCGCGTCCGATGTGGACGCTGGCGAGGTGCGCAGCATGTCAGACTTGTCCGGAACGTCGAGCAGCTCGGTGGCGACTGGTGGCTCGGGCTATGCCGCACGGATGATGCAGATGGCGTCGCAGACGACCGACATGCTACTGCGGCAGGAAGATGAGCGTGTCGCGACAGAAGAGCGACTGCTGGATCTGCGGGCCGAGTCGACCGAGGAAAAGTTCCGAGTCCAGCTGGCTGAGCTCGACAGCACGAGGAGTATGAGTGATGCTGAGCGAAAGGAAGCCAAGCTGCTGGTGCTGATGGAGCTCGACACGGAGCGGGCACAGATCTCGCAGATGAGGGCAGCGCTGCATGCTGAGTCGATGCGACTGCGTGCCAATGCCAAGGCGCAGCGCCAGGAGATCGCCCGTGCGTCGGCACAGTCGCGGTCGCGCGGACAGACATCACAGGCGGTGGTGGTAGCTGAGCCACAGGGCCCGACGTTTGCGCCTCCTGCATCGGGGAGCCGGACGAGTGAGAGCCCTGCCGCGTCCGCTGTGTCGGAGATGAGCGGCTCAGTGGCAAGCTCCGAGTCGCGAGTGTCGAGCGTCGCCGCGGCAAAGGACCGGCTGGAGAGCCTGCGGGAGGAGTTGGTGGCCAAGAAGCGGACGGCCAAGGAGATGCTGGCGGCGAAGCGGCGGCACGACGATCGGCGGCGGCTCGAGGCCGAGGAAGCCGAGCTGCGGCGGGAAATTGCTGCAGTCGAGACGCTCATGGGGCGGCTGACAAGCCAGGCGCCTGCGAGCGACGACGATGGGTACGACGACGAGTACGACGAGCCTGTCGACAACTCGGCGGTTCACACTGTTCCGAGTGCGAGCGTGAGCACGAGTGCAAGCGTGAATGTGAGTACGAGCGCGAGTGTGAGTGCAAGTGTCGGCGACCGCGAGTCGCTGGGCGAGTCTGTGGCTGGGTCTGTGGCTGGGTCTGTGGCTGGGTCTGTGGCTGATTCTGTGGCCGAGATTGAGTCGATTGCTGATGATGTCTCCGAGGCATCGTCAGATGATTCGATGATGAAGTACGCGTTTGATGCTGCAGCTGTGGCCGTGGCGGATGCGGGGCCGGCCGCGTACGAGCCAGACTTTGAAGCTGTGGGCGACGCATCTGTGGCGAGCAGCGTGGCGGACACAGGGCCGGCCGCGTACGAGCCAGACTTTGAGTCTGTGGGCGACGCATCTGTGGCGAGCAGCGTGGCGGATGCGGGGCCGGCCGCGTACGAGCCAGACTTTGAAGCTGTGGGCGACGCATCTGTGGCGAGCAGCATGGCGGATGCAGGGCCGGCCGCGTACGAGCCAGACTTTGAGTCTGTGGGCGACGCATCTGTGGCGAGCAGCGTGGCGGATGCGGGGCCGGCCGCGTACGAGCCTGACTTTGAGTCTGTGGGCGACGCATCTGTGGCGAGCAGCGTGGCGGATGCAGGGCCGGCCGCGTACGAGCCAGACTTTGAGTCTGTGGGCGACGCGTCGACCGAGGCCGAGTCGGAAATCGAGTCAGAGATCGCATCTTGCGTCGAGTCCGACTCTGGCAACAGCTCGAGTGAGTTTCAGAGTCGGTACGTCTTCAATGCCGGCAACGATGCCGGCAACGCACTTGCACCGCCGTCGACTCTGGTCATTGCTCCATCGGAGAGCATCTCGCAAGCCAACGAGACTGACGCGGCAGAGTCCAGCCCTGTGGTCGACGCCGTGACACCTCGGTCCCCGCTGGACACGTCGCTCACGCTCAATCCTGCGGCGTCGCTCATGTCGCGGACGTCGACGAGCTCGCTCACCGACTACCGCATGGGATCGTCCGACTTTGAAGCCAACACGCCCCCGGGACATGCCTTGTTTGCGGATCGGATCGCTATTCCACTCTCGCCCACCCACACCGCCACGATTCCTGACGGCGCCGCGGCTGACGTTGCCGAGACTGGCTCCGACGATGGCGCCGTCGACGGCGTTGTCGACGGCGTCGTTCCTATCGAGATTGCAGGCGCTGTTGAGGCGGAGAAGGCTGAGGCTGCAGCTCATCTTTCATCACCAACATCCGCCGCCGCTACCGACACTGTGGACGAGTCGGACGACCTGGTGTCGTCCAGGTACTCGTCATCGGTGCCCGTGGTCGTCAAGAAGCTCGGCGATGAGAGCTCGTCGTCCCAGTCGAACTCGTCGAGCTCGTCGTCAGGACGGCTGGGCCATGGGCTCCAAATTGACACATTATGCGTTGACCGCGCCGATGATGACATCGAATCACTCTCGCCGGGCTCGCCAGTCTCGCCGATGAGGACCTCACCGCTTGAGCGAATGGGCTCGTCGGCCGAGCTGGGAGCCAACTCCTACTCGGACGAGACGTCGTCACCACCTTCGTCACTTCCGTCGTCGCCGGCTTCGTCGCCGAACTCGGCACAGCTCGCAGCGCTGCCGCTGACAGCCACCGATGCCGACGGCGACTTTGTCGGCGGTGGGCTGCGGAGTGAGTCGCCGCCGATCTCGATGCCGATGGTCTCAACGCCTGTGCCGGTAGAGGCTGCGGTTGATTCGGTCTTTGACGCGCTGCTCTCGTCGACCATCGACGCTGCGCTTGCAGCGCGGGCAGCGAAGCAGCAAAGCAGGGCGCAGGTGCTCCGGCACCGGTCGCCTGGCACGTCGCCGGCGTCGCCCTCGCCATCGCCGTCGTCTCCGTCGGCGTCGCCCTCGCCGGCGTCGCCCTCGCCGTCGTCTCCGTCGTCGCCGTCGACGTCGTCGGCCTCACAATCGCCATCCTCGCCAAAGAGTGATGACTTTCTGGCCCTGCTCCGGCCCGACATCCCGCGGCTCAATCTCAGTTCGCCTGGTTCCGACGCGCCGGCGCTGGCCTCAGCGCTGGCTCCCGAGCTCGGGCTGGGCATCGAAGACGACGAGCTGGACAACCTGCTTGAGTCGGAGAATGACGTTGCGGTGCGCCAGATGGAGCACTTTCTGGCCGAGACGGCTGTCGACGCGTCGGATGCGCACGACGACGCGTTGATTGCTGCGGTGACGCGGGGCGGCGGGCAGTCGCTGGTCCGCCACGCAGGCACGCTCCGCATCGACCGGCACGAGCTGGAAAAGTGGCAAGTTGCGCACAGCGAGCAGCTGGCTCTGGCCAAGTCGCGGCAGGGCGTCGCCATCCAGCACCTGCACGACGCGATGGTGATGGATGTGCTCGACGAGGCGCTCGCAAGTGGACCGCCGGACTACCCCGACGGCATCCCGCCGCCGTGGCTGCGCAAGTCGGTCTCGGTTCAAGCCCGCATGGCGCCGGTCTCGGATGCCGACCGCGTCGCTGCTGCGGTCGCCCGCGTCGCCGCCTGGCGGGCGTCGCAGGCGCTCGAAGGTGAGGCCGCCGACATTGTTGACGTCCTCCTCGCCGAGCATATTGTCGAGCAGGACAAGGAGTGGTCGAACTTTGAGGCTGATGAGGTGGCGGTCAAGGACGCGGTGGCCGATGCCATTTTCGACGACGAGCTGACGCGCATGGTAGCCGAGCTTGTGCGACTCGACTCGATGATGTAAACGTATCTCCGCAAAACGCTGCTTGCCGACTCTGGGAGTGGAGCCGAATCCAATTGCTGGAGCGGATCGGATGGAGGTGCGACCATGTTTTTCACTTTTGGCCGCATTCATTTGCGCGAGCTCATTTGCCTCTCACCACCACACTCTCATTTGTACGTTCGATCAGTGCCGTGGAGAGCGGCGTTACCAGCGATGCGCCAGCCGGGGATTGCGACGACGTGCCACCGGGTTTGAGTCACCGCAGCCAAGCGATGTGGCTGTACAAGGCGCTTGCGTCGTCTGTACCGTGGGCCTCGGCTCGAGCATGGGTGTGCTGGCCGCCGTGTGGGTGTGCTGGGCTGGTGACCAGGGATGATTCCCTCGTTTTTGTGTGACCAGCCGGCCGCCACTCCCGCGCCATGCGCCTCTGCAAGCCCGCACGCCGCCGCGGGCCTCCTCATGCGACACTCTACACCCATACCGGTGTTCGAGGCTGTGGCTCCCTCGTCTGTGTCTGCTGCTGGCGTGCCCAGGCTCGTCTGCCTCGCGTAGCGAAGCCCATCTGTTTTTTATTTGGCCGCAGCCCGCCTCGCCCCCACCCAATCCCCCCCCTTCTCCAAGCCGCCATCCGTCCCACGCCATGCGCACGTCGCCTTGTGCAGCACACGCGGCCGGTGGTATACGAGTTGGTACCGGTCGGCCACATGGACTGTGTGTGTGCGTGTGATGGGTGGCAGCAGGGGGGCGGTGTGGGATGGGCGACGTACCGGCGGCAGAAGGGGAGGCGGCAGGGAGAGGCTCGAGCAAGTAGATGCGGAGTACGACTCACATATTGTGTGTGTGTGTGTGCGTGTGTGTGTGACGTGTGGGCAGCTCCCAACAATGGCCAAGAACGTGCTCGTGAAGGGGGTCCCCCGCCACTCCAAGTCGTCCCAGTACCGCCGCAAGGGTCTGCAGTACATCAAGAACAAGACGACCACGCCCAAGAAGTCGATCGTCAACAAGAACGGTGGCAAGTGGTACTCGACCGTCGACATCTCGGGCCGTAAGCTCGCCAAGAAGGGCCGCGGTACCGCCGTCCTCCGCAAGTCGATCACCAAGGGCACTGTCCTGATCCTCCTCGCCGGCCGCCACGTCGGCAAGCGCGTGATCTTCCTCAAGCAGCTCCCGTCCGGCCTGCTCCTCGTCACCGGCCCGTACCACATCAACGGTGTCCCGCTCCGCCGTGTCGACCAGGCCTACGTCATCGCCACCTCGACCAAGGTTGACCTCAAGGGTGTCAGCCTCCCCGATGACTTCTCCGAGGAGCTCGTCTGCCGCCCGAAGGCCAAGACCGTCGGCGGCAAGTCCGAGAAGGCCTTCTTTGCCACCAAGAAGAAGGGCCGCCACGCCTTCCCCAAGCCGACCGATGCCCGCATCGCTGCCTCCAAGGCCGTCGACGCCCAGGTCCTCGAGCGTGTCAACAAGGTTCCGTACCTCAAGGAGTACCTCGCCCGCGGCTTCTCGCTCGACAACGGCGACTACCCCCACCTGATGCAGTTCTGAGCTCGCAAACAAAGGAAAGCACACAAGCTGAACGCCCCCTCTCCCCCTTCCCCCCCCTCGTCGACCTTTGTCATCCCCGTCACCGTCAACCCCCGTCACCCCAATCGGCCAAAAAGGTGTCGGAACTGAAGGCCACCTGGCTTTCATTCATTCTTGCGAACTATGATTCTCCTGGAGCACGCCAACCGCATTGTCGAGGAGACCGTCCTCCGCCTGCTCAGCGCGTACGCCCCCCTCCCCGTTGACCCTACCCTTCCCTTGCACCTCCCTCCCCCCCCCCCCCCCCCCCCCT